GCGACATGATGATCATGACGTTACGATGGCGACATCATCAGACCCTGGTGATGACGACATGACGAGAGGATCACGACATTACGATGGCGACGTGATGATGGCGACATGATGATCATGACGTTACGACGGCGACATCATGATGATGATGCTGCCCATGGTGATGATGATGATGATGATGATGATGTTGACCATGATGATGTTGATGACGCTGTCGGCGATGATGGTTGAACCCGTCCTAGACTCTAATAAACTCTAAACCGCAAAAACGCATAAAACCAAGTCTATCGGAATACTCTGTCTTTCTCGAGGTGTGCGAAGTACTGCAAACACCAGTGAATTTGCTACTCTGTTGCAAGTACACGTGAAACGCAAGGTATTCCTAATGTACTGAAGTACTTCTCGGCACTCGCACACGACAAAACCTCCAGTTATTGCATGTTTTCTTTCAGACATCAGCAGACGAAACCCATAACAACGAACCGAAACACGACATAGAACCACGACTATCGGGATTATCTTTTTGTGTAGAGGTGTACGAAGTGCTGTAAATACAAATGAATTCGGTGCCCTCTTGCGAGTACACCATGAAACCCAGGGGTTTCGTGATGCTTTCCAGTCGTTCCCACAAGACAGAACCTCGAGTTTTTGCATATTTTCCTTGTTCACAGGGTGCCTAAACTCCTAAACCTTGCTTTCTAACATCTTCGTGCGCGCACTTCCCAGCTATAAGTCCGCGCGAAGACAACATGCTCCGAATAGTGTAGCTCTGTTGCATAAGTGCAAAATCATACACATTTGCCGTACTTTCGAGCTCTTGCAAGAACTTCCTCTGTTATACTGCCCCATGGTCTCCGGGAAACCTCCAGGGATTTGCCGCAATGGTTTCTCATATGAAGACCGTCTAGATGCCTGTTTGAGTTTCGTGGCTTTGTCGGTCTTCAGTGTATTCTGCTCCGTCTGTTGTGCTAACAGGTGAAAACGGTTTTCTTAAACCTCCTCGGCATCTCGCGAAGGTAGCCAACGGGACCAGTATAGCAGTGATATTCAACTTTGTACACAATCGCGACACGATGACAAGCCTGAGACATTATTCCCAAAGCGAGAGCCGGAAATCCCGGAAAGGCACAGCGATGCGGCTGTTAGAAGCCTGGCCTCCGTGGCACTGCTCCACTTCGAGGATCCAGGGCCAGGGTTTGGGATTCAGGACCCGGTCAAGAGCCGGTCCTGATTGTGCAAGTCCGACTCACAGCCGCGAAGGGCTCACCTCTCTTTCAGCCCAAGAACATTCGAACCCCCAAGAGCCCTCTGCAGCGCACCCTAAACCTGATATCCGAAATGTTTGAAAACCGAACTGCCAAGCAGGAGGAAAAACTGCCAACCAAGAGAAGCCCAGGAGACCGTGTGCAAGAAGGTGCTCCTCGCAACGCTGCATAGCGAGCGGGCGGATGCCCGCTGCACGGCCCTCAGCTCACTCTCCGCGATTGGCCAGGGCGCGGCTCGGCCGCAGCTCAGCTTGCCTTGTTGCTACCATGCGTATAATGTATGACAGTTCAATACTACCCCAATGGTGCTATAGCAAAATACGACGCGAGACTATAACAATGGGCCGCGTTTCACTACTAATTGCGCGCTTCGCCCTCTTCTTCAAGAAGGTGTGAGTATTGTCAACATGCTGGCTGTCTCGTGACCATCCTGCAATTCCGCTGCTGCTTTTGCTGCATCAGAACACACAGGAGCAATGAGCAGCTGCTGCTCCTCGCAAAAGTTTCATACCACTAGCGGAACCGAATCAACATGAAGACGGCTAGTGCGTCGTTGACCTACCAGCTCAACCAAGATCCACTGTCAGTTTCGCCCAGGGACGTCCCAAGCCGGCACTGTCCAGCCCTTTGGACAAGGCCTCCCTTTCCTTCCCCACATGGCCTGCTATTGTCCGGCGGATGCAGCCGGGAGTTCGAAGGCAGAAGACCCTTCGACATCTCTGCCCGTGGCAAGCGAAGATCCGGATGCAAAGCTGTTGCACGGCTCCACGTCCTACTTGAGTATGCTGCATGACACTGGCAGGAACGAAGCTTATGCTGCTGCACTCCGCGCACTCCCCGCACCACCCGAGCTCGTGCTCGATTTAGGTGCTGGCACCGGGCTACTGGCCGGTTTAGCATGCCAGGCATTTCCGTCGACACGTGCAGTGGCTTGCGAGGTCTACGCCGCATGCGCAGATGTGGCCCGGCAAGTGCTTGAAGAGAACGGCCTGCACCAAAGAGTTCAGGTCGTGAACAAAGTCGCCAGCGACCTGGAGGTCGGCGTGGACCTTCCGCAGCTGGCGGACGTCTGCGTCTTTGAGCTTTTCGACTCACAGCTTCTTGGGGAGAGCATCTTGCCGATCCTGCGAGATGCGCAGGCGAGACTACTGCAGCCGAGTTGCACGTTTGTTCCTCGTCGGGTCACGGTGCGAGCAATGCTGGTAACATGTCCGGCCTTGGCTGTCTGCGACCTCCCGGAGCTCCGTGGCGCCCCGTGGCCATTGGCCCTGGGGCAGCTGGGTCTCAGCTTGACAGGCGACGACAAAGACGCAGCGGTTCGTGGGCTCTCCGAACCATGGGATGCCTTCGCCATCGACTTTGGCAGCTTGCCCTCGAGCTGCCCGCGATCCGCACCTTCCACGGTCCGCGCATCCCGTGCGGGCGTGGCGCATGCTGTCGCCTGGTGGTGGGAGCTGGACATGGGAGGTGGCTACACACACAGCAGCTGGACCGATGCCCGCAGCTCGGAGGAGCGTTTCCCGGCTCGCCACCACTGGCGTCCTTGTCTGTCCTTCTTGGCCCCAACCACTTTGGCTTCAGGTGACGACGTAAGGGTTGTTGCTGCTCACGACGACGAAGGAGTCTGGTTTGCCTGGCACTCCCTGGATGACAGCGTTCCCTCTCGCTGGGTCCCGGGCATCACAGCAATCCCACCGGAGCGGGAGAGGCTGCTGATCGCAGCCCAGGAATCATACCGGCACTTCTTGAGCACTGCCTTGGCGCAGGCAGCTTCCAAGGGATCCGGCAAGGTCTTGTTTCTCCCTTCCGAGGATTACTGGTGCATGGCAGCCTTAGGCGATGCGATGACATCCATGACCGGGGCCTGCAAGGCCGAGGAGGTTTCTGTGCCCATTAGGTCAAAAGCCCTGGCAAAGCTGCAGTCGAGAGGACAGTGGCCACATGGTCTTCAGGCGGTGGAGCCCGGAGAGGTGCAGGCCGAGGAAGGTCTTGCAGTGCTGGAGCCCTTTGTCGCCGCAGAGGCCCGCCCCTGGTGCATGGCAGCAGCTTTGCGCCGGCGTGGCACGCTGAACTTGCCGGTGCCGGCAGGCATCCACATCCTCGCTGTGCTGGTGGAGTGCCAGGGCGTCTGGATGGCGAGGCAGCCTCTTGGCAGCCTCTGTGAGCTCTCGATGAAGGCAGCAAACCCCTTCCTGGTACCAGTACGGAATCGTCCGCTGGAGTGCAACCTGTGTGAGATGGCCTGGCGCCCGCTGAGTAGCCCGCGTCGTGTGCTTGAGCTGGAGCTCTCATCCAATGGCACGAAAGATGCTTCAGCAGTCGAGGCGCTTGAGGTGGCCACGCCGGGCCGCTGCCACGGGATCGCATTCTGGGCCGAATTTGCGGTCGAGGATGCTGTTCTGAGCACCGGCCCGAGTGCCTCAGGAGCACCCACAGGTTGGAGTCAAGCGCTGCACCTCTTCGAGGAACCCGTCGGCCTCATGGAGGGCATGATGCTGGAATTGCACCTTGCAGTGGAGGGCGAAGAGGCCAGAATCCATGTCCGTCCTGTATCTCCTGAGAGTGCCAAGCGTCAGAGGTGTGCATAAGCGAAGAAAGCGCTTACGGTTTCGAGGAGGGCTTCGGCTTCACGGCTTTAGAATGCGGGTGCCTGCATGATTGGACACCGGGTTGGTTGCCCCGCGCTCCGAAATCAATCCAAACTCAGGGCCGTCAGAATCATGGAAACGTTGTCAAACCTCGGTAGCCCTCAGCACGGTCTGTTCCCACAAGCCCAACCCTGTCCCGCCTGACCTTCGGATCCAAGGACATGACCTGCATCAGGGCCGCCTGTCGAGCACTTCAGGCGAGAGCGGGGTTTAGAGCAGACCTTGGGAGGGAGGGAGGGGGGGCAAGGAGGGAGCTCTGCCAGCAAAAGACATCAGGAGAGACTTTGCATCGAAACCCTTGCTCCGTACCTATAGTCAGGACATGTACATGGTATCTGCCAGGATGAGAATGCATCGGTTCGGGCACTGGCGATCCCCATGATCCGCACGCTCATCGCAGGCTCCGTTTGGGGTGAAGGTGGTGCTTGATATGCTTTTGATGCCCGATTTCCCTCGCACTTCAACGTCCTCTGGCTGTGGGTTGAGTGTTTTGTTTTTTCCAGCATGTCGTCTTGCGAGCATCAATGTCGACGAACAAGCTGAACCAAAAACCCCAGGCCCGACACCCGCAACTAAACCTTTTCAAAACAAAGCCTGGAAGCCGGCTTGAAGGCTCATCGGCAAGCGCCCAAAACTTGACAAGACGAACACTGTGAGGGGACCCGGAAAGCGCCCAGACCCGAAACCCGCCCAGGTCAAGATCCCAAGTGCTGCGTGGCGGCTGCCAAGGTCGCCGCCCTGGCGATGGAACATTCGGAGACTGGGCCCGCAAATGCAGCAGAGCCAAAAGCTGCGACTTTGAAAAGCCCACATCCCCAATCCCTCAAAAAAAACCCCGAACACAGCCATCAAATCCCTTAATCCTACAACCTACCCAGAGGGTCCATCCGTTATGCAGTCGGGGCCCCAAGCAGGATCCCTGCTTTTTGCAGCCCAATTCCATAAGCCGCCAGTCACACATATCTTGGAGTTGGGTGGGTATCTGAATTCTGGCAGTCTTGCTCCACCGCTGTCAACAGTGGCAGGTTGCCAGTGCCCCACACTCAGTGAGCCCAAAGGCATGGAACACTAAAGGGAGGCCTCAGTTCGAAATCCGGTAGCAACCCTTCTTCGCCATCTTAAAACGTTAACCCTATATATGCCCCTAAACACCCCAAAACCCTAAGGCCCTATAAACTTTAAGCCCTAAGCTCCTCTTCGCAGAGGATCCGGACGTGCAGCACGCGGGCTCGCTGGCCCTTGTAGGCAGGTGATGTTTCTTTATGATTGATGCCAGAAGAATGCGGGAGGCTTGGGGTTGGGTTTTTGGGGGGTTGTTGAGCTTGCAAGATTGGTTTAAACCAGGGGCAGCATTGATCGCCGCATAATTGTTTCGTAGCGCGCAAAGCCCTCGAGCAGGGGAGGAGCTTAAAGAGCAGTCAGCTAGAACCCAGCCCTTTTTCTTCGGCATTCTCAGACTCCTGGAGTCCTCGACCTACATGCCGGTAGCAGTCCTACTGGCCTACTGTTGTCGAAGACGGTGTTGATGTTTCTGCATCTTAGGGTTGCTGATGGTGCTAAATATGCTACCTCGCACTGCAGCTGCGATCAACTCCTGCTGCTGCTGCCGGTAGTGCGTCTGCCGCTACTGCAAAGGCTTAGAGGTTCCGAAGGTTGGCAGTCGCAGGCATCTCGAAAGTACAGAATGGACCGCCGGTGGAGAAGAAGAGGAACATCAGTGCCAAGATGACCCTGCAGCAGCAGCTGCCGGGCTCAATGTCTGGTAGGGTGTATGCTTTCTTTACGATTGGAGCTTTGGGAGGATGCCCCTAAGGCCCTCAGTGCATTGCAGGGACCCTGTTCTGGGGAGTTACAGTGCTCCGGCTCAGGGCATCTACGCACAGATTTCCATGTCAGCGTCGGGTCGGCAAAGAAGCCACGGTTCCACAGCCTTCACAGCTGGATCGAACACGCAAGCCTTACTTATAATGCCTTCAAAGATCCTAAACTCCGTCTGATACGAGGTCTTTATTTGTGCCTTGCGGTTGTGAGGGCCTTGCGCAGAAAAGCCACCCTCCGTGCTGCAATGGCATGATTTCCCCGTGTACAGGCGCTCGAAGCCAGAAGCCGTAAGTGGACGAGTGCACTGAATTTCACATGCTCCTTTATCGTCCTCTCACCCTACATACATGCCGACATGCCCCTATGCATCCTGCACCCTCCAACATCCCAAACCTCCCAAATCCCCCATTTCCACGCCTACGCCCAGGATGGAGATGCTCCGAAGCTCGCAGCTGGCGACGCTGCAGCCACGGAGGCTTGGGTCTCCGTGTGCTTTGGGGTTCTCTGTCGTGGAGTGGCGGCTCTGTTGCTCAAGGTTTTTAGGATTTAGGCGGCTGGGTGCCACAAAGAGCGGCCTCGGCAGTCCACTTCACCCCTGACGAGGCAGTACAACGATGCGGGGGATGATGCCGACGAAGAGACGTTCCCAAAAGCTTCTGGTTTCAACGCCGTTGATAGCCACAGACGACTTGCGTCAACGTAGTACCAGGGCCTAGATGTAAGGACCCATAGGTAGCCCATGCTATAATCGAGACTATGGGAGAATGAGCAATACATCTAATTTGGCTGTTTAATTTTTTTTGAAATCCTAGAAGAAAGTTTTGAGATCCAGCTGCTGTCGCTCAGTGCGGGAACTTGAGATTGATTGATTTCAGCAAGGAAGGAAGGCCAGGAAGAACAGTTTTGTTCTTCGGTTTAGACAGTTTCGGGACAAGGAGCTGAAGGGCAGGGGAATGGGAGGAAGCAAGGTAGCAATTGCTCACTACTCTAGCAAAGGTGAAACACAAGAGAACCGAGGGAATCGGCACTGCTCATAGCAACGGCGCAAGGATCTTGGGGCTGCCTTTGGACCCAGTTCATCAATGTCTTGGGTCCAATGACCTTCACGTTTGCCTTGAGCAAGAACTCTAGACGGAGAAAGCTGCCGACGGCTGAAACGGTTCAGTCGAAGGGAGAACTGATTAGCCTTCAAAGCGTGGCTTTGGCAATCACACCAGAAGCCCAGAGCAATGTCCCAGTCACCGAGAGGTTAGCAACGAGGAGCTCGATGTGGTGATTGCAATGCTGGATCGGGCAGAGCTTCGCGCGAACGGCCAGGCGGAGCGGGCATGGGACAAGTACGAACAGCAATGAAGAAGCTACTGTTTCCAGCGTGGTCCTGCTGGGGCCGGCTGGGGATTCAGTACAGCAGCTGCCCCATGCACAAAGGTGACTCTTGGAAATGAAGCACGACTCAAGTCCCTGTAAAGTAATGTAAGCGGCCGGATATCTGGGTCTGGGACACACCCACGCACTGTGACAACACTAATTTATGCGCACATATGCATATGCACACACACACACACA